ACTGGAGGTAATAGGGGTGAGGGGTTGGGGGGGCACGATGGTGAGACCGTGGGGTGGCAGTGGGGTCTCTGTGGGGCACTGTGGGATTTCTGTGGGTCTCTGTTTGGTCTCTATGGGTTCCTGTGGGTCTCTGTGGGGTCTCTATGGGTCCCTGGGTCTCTGTGGGGCACAGTGAGATCCCTATGAGGTCTCTATGGGTCCCTATGGGGTTTCTATGGGGTCTCTGTGGGTCCCTATATGTCTCTATGGGGCACAGTGGGATCTCTATGGGTCCCTATGGGTCTCTGTGGGTCTCTATGTGGTCCTTATGGGTCTCAGTGGGGCACATTGGGGTCCTTAGGGATCTCTATGGCTCTTTATGGGGTCTCTGTGGGTCTTTATGCGGTCCCTATGGGGCACAATGGGATTCCTGTGGCTCTCTATGGGTCTCAATGGAGCAGAATGGGATCCCAATGGCTCTCCTCTATGGGTCCCTATGGGTCTCTGTGGATCTCAGTGGGGTCCCTATGGGGTCCCTAGGGGTCTCAGTGGGGCACAATGGGATCCCTATGGGTCTCTATTGAACCCTATGGGTCTCTGTGGGTCTCTGTGGGACTCTATGGGTCTCTATGGGTCCTTATGGGTCCCTATGTGTCCCTATGGGTCTCTATGGGTCCCTATGGGTCTCTGTGGGTCCCTGTGGGTCTCTATGGATCTTTATGGGTCTCAGTGGGGCACACTGGGTCCCTATGGGTCTCTGTGGGTCTCTATGGGTTCCTTAGGGGTCTCTGTGGGTCCCTATGGGTTCCTATGGGTCCCTATGGGTCTCTGTGGGTCTCAGTGGGGCACATGGGGTCCCTATGGGTCCTTGTGGGTCCCTGTGGGTCCTTGTGGGTCCCTATGGGTCTCTGTGGGTCTCAGTGGGGCACATTGGGTCCCTATGAGTCCCTGTGGGTCCCTATGGGTTCCTGTGGGTCTCTGTGGGTTCCTATGGGTTTCTATGGGTCTCTATGGGTCTCAGTGGGGCACACTGGGTCCCTATGGGTCCCTGTGGGTCCCTATGGGTCCCTGTGGGTCTCTGTGGGTTCCTATGGGTTTCTATGGGTCTCTGTGGGTCTCAGTGGGGCACACTGGGTCCCTATGGGTTCCTATGGGTCTCTGTGGGTTCCTATGGGTTTCTATGGGTCTCTATGGGTCTCAGTGGGGCACATTGGGTCCCTATGGGTCCCTGTGGGTCCCTGTGGGTCCCTATGGGTCCCTATGGGTTTCTATGGTCTCTGTGGGTTCCTATGGGTCCCTATGGGTCTCTATGGGTCTCAGTGGGGCACATTGGGTCCCTATGGGTTCCTGTGGGTCCCTGTGGGTCCCTATGGGTCCCTGTGGGTCCCTATGGTCCCTATGGTCCCTATGGTCTCTGTGGGTGTCTGGGGCGCAGCCGCCATCCTGGACGAGCGCTCGGGCTGCGGGCGGGGGGAGCGGCTGGCGCTGGCGCTGGCGCGGGAGCAGCTGAACGGAGCGCGGGGGGGGCCGCCCCGCGCGCGCCTGGAGGTGGACATCTTCGAGCTGCAGCGCGACAGCCAGTACGAGACCACCGACACCAGTGAGCGCACGCGAGTGTGCAAGGGCGTGCCGGGGGGGGGGGGGGGGAAGGGAGGGGGGGG